GTACGCGGGGGATGCCAAACTAAAGTTTTCCCTTTTTTGGATGTACATATTGCTCATTTACTTCAATAATGTCATGATCGAAAAAATACAAAACTTTATTTATCTAAGAAACAGTAAAATCATCTGTTTCAACCGACATTGTTATTGCAGCTGTTTTTTGTAAAGCCGGGGAATTCAGAAATGTACAAAATGGTCAACAAACGCAAACATTTAAGAGCCTCACGCGTATACAGCTTTCCTTTTATTCATACACAAAAGAACCCTACCCAGAAGATATTTTAGGTTGTTGTTGTTGGTAACAGCATACAAATTCCCTAAAGCGTTTTTGGGGAAAGATGCTGGAGTAACAGTCCTAGGCCAGATATGAATCTGGGTCGTGTCGGTTACGTAGACCCCACTGCAATGGGAACGATATTTTAGGTAGATTTGCTTAAGTGAAGCCATTCCAAAAGGCGTACTCGAAAAGTTATGTCAAAAGCAAAAATAGAATCCAAATAGGATCAAAAATCTGTCTTATTGCAATAGTTAGGTTAAATGAAGTGAGCTGGTCGGAAGTTACAGAGTTACACTTAAGGTCTACTTCATCCTCGCGCATGCTAGTTCAGTATTAGTGAAAAATGAAATATCGTTGCCGTAATCTCTAATGATGCTGCTCACATAGGTCCGGCACAGTTACTTTTTTACCATCAGTGTTGCTTTAGCGTCCGTTACGTAATTTGTAATATCAATTCAACTCAGTTTATGACTATTATCTTACAGACTAAAATGGAGTTGGGGCAGAATTATACAAAATTGTTCAGTTGATTAGCTAATTTATTAATAATTATTCATATAATAATTATATTACAGACATAAGGAGATATCGAAGGAGTACAGTAAATGAAGTAATTTTTACTGATACTGAACCGGCACAGCACTGATGAGGGTAAAAACATTATTATAATGCACACTCCGCATGCCGGACACTCAGGATCAGGTATGAGTTCAACCTGCTGAAGTAGCCAGAGCGAAGTTGGGTTATTGTGGTCCGAGTCTTCCGAGGCAGACGAAGCTCCGTCTTGTCCACGTCAGGTGGTTGTGTGCCGAGAACGGCATTCTCAGGTCTGGAGTCTACTCAACTTGAGACCGACTCCCAGTGTATGTATGGCTCTAGGCCTGTCGATATGCTGTCGGGTCCAGGGGTTGCTTTATGTGCCTCTGGACTTTGTACGTCAGTTCGTATAGATGCCTTCTGACATGCCTTGGCTCCCTACTAAGAATTGCTTGCAGAGCATTGTGTTGTGCTTCTTAAAGGGGAGCACTTGCGCCTCGTCATGCAGGAGATGTTGTGGCAACATCAGAAGACATCCGGTCCGGAATTCTGTATTTTGTCGTCCTACTGGTCACCGGCGAACACACTGGCGCTGCGTAATTTATAACCGGCCTTGTACGTTGCCAGCAACGTTTCTTTGTCGAGCACAAGACATCAATTCCATTCTCAGACGCCATTATCGAACAATTTGCGGGGTAAGAGACAATCGAGACTGCCTCTGGCTGTGGGTAACAATCGCTTTTGCAGATCCAACGCTACTAGAACAGTTCTCTCAGAGGGTTGGTTGCGGTTTAGGCCATATGTTATCTGAGTGTTTATGGCGTTAAGTGTTGTTGTTGTGCCGGGCAGTTTACGGAAACCATGCTGATGCGTGCATAGTAATTAATTTCGGTTTAAACTTACAAGAGTAGTCATCACGTTCGTTATTTTCTTTTACTCTAAAATAAAGAAAAAAAGAAAATAACCGCTCAAAAGAAAATTAATCAATAGCGTCTCTCGGAATTATCCATGGTATGGCCATGAGTAAGTACATATATTTAATACCTAAACAGGTAAATTTTTACATGAATGTGTTAACATGTAAAACTTAGTATTATTTCATGTTCTTGGTGGCCGCTGTTATGTAGTGGTAACCTGTAAGCGCTACCACTTCGCAGGGCCTGAGTTCGAGTCTAATTTCCGCCCAACAGTTAAAAAAGGCGGTCGCACCTCGGCACGCAATGGCACACTTCCGAGTCTATTTCGCCATGAAAAACTGCTTTTCATATAAATACAATCGCTATTCAGAGTCGGCGTAAAACTTTAGGTCCCTTCCCTTTGTGTGACAAGGCGCACGCCACAAATCGGAGGAGAACCTCGGCCAAGTAATAACATACATATCAGCGTTTAAAGTACAAAACCGCGTATCGTCGTTTTGCAAAACCGCGTAACTGAAATTTTTTGCCGTTGTGTAGCTCTTATACGTAATTTGGTTGACAAAAAAATTAGGTGCGCTTGGAGCACAGTGACGTCGAGAAAATCGATGAAAAGGAGGGCATAACGGACGTGACAAATGAGGAAATGAGAAATGATTTCTGAGTACATGTAAAAATAAGCAAAACTCAGCGAATCCTGCAAGGTTTTCCTTTATTAAAGATTGTTTTAAGTCAAATTATGAACCATTACAACCAATTCATTTTTAATCAGAAGCAATCGTTGTTGATTTAATTTTGAATTGAAATCTGGTAACGGACGTGACATATCGGACGTGACAGATTTTTCTCCCATACAATATTTTTACTAGTAACACATACTAAATTTAATTTTTTTTTCATTTTTCAGTTCTCCACCGTTTTGCGTTTTCAAAACCTTTTTAAACCAGTAGCTGAAGTCGGTCGAGAGGTCGATGCCAAAAATTGAAATACGCTTGTGCCTTGCAAACATAAGCAGTGTTTCAAAGAATATCACACAAAGTAGTATTACAAAAAACAGTTTATATGGACTAATTTTGTTATATACATACATATTTCTTTTTTTGTTTTTTATATTAAATTCACTTTAATTTTCAACAAATTAGAACTATTAAAATATGTATTTATTTTTCAGTAGGGATCTAATATACGAAATTGTGATAGGCCCTTTTCAGAGTGTTTCAATTTTATTTGTATTTATTTTTTTTTTTAATAAAATTACTCAATGTCGTACAAAAAAGAAATAAATCAAAACTCTTTATATCAAAATTATGGCTTAAAATGTGGTTGGTTCTCAAAGGAATATATTTAGCGTATTGAAAACTAAACAGCCAGAAAATTTAAAAGCCTGTACATAAGTCATTGGGGGTATTATTAAAAAAAAGTATTGTTTTCCCCAAGACTATGATGATTTGATTAAGTGAAAAATAATAACTTCATAACCAACTTGTAGAAGAAATTACATTAAGGTCACTCCATTTGACTTAATCAACCATCGATATTGGTACCTTTTCAGCAACGTTCTGCATTTTAGCGATTAAAGGTGAAATTAGTAAAGAACGTAAACCCACCGGGTACGTAAACCCGAGTCAGCTGACACGATCTGTCTTACAAGAGCGCCATGTAAATGAAAACTTAACACCGCATAATTTTTCTGTAGTTGTAGCCCGTAGCGCAGACATCTGCGGAATTTAAATTTTTCCGTGTCAGCTGATTTCTTCCTTCTATAGATGGTTGCCACTTCGTCAGTTTTGCAGATGGTATATTCAAAATATGTTTAAAATGTTTGAAACTTGTTATCAAATAAGGTTTTTTGTTGAAAAATATGTAGTTTATATTTAGCTAGAATCTAATATAGCACGAAAAATTATAATTGAAAAGGTAAGTTTATGAAAAGGCATTCTGCGTATACAGACTGCGTTTAAGTACAAGTTCTGCGTTCTTGACTAATTTCGCCTTCAGTCAATACGTTGAAAATTTGATAGGCGTTGAGTGGCTGAATTGTTTAATGTGGACTTAATATATAACTCGCTATCAGAAATTTAACTTACGTCTGAACATCTAACCTCATTTTTTACAAAAACTTGATTATTAAGGAGGGACACTAACTAATAAAAATAAAAATCTTTAGATATGGCAGTCAAACATCTATATAAAATAGCTAGTAGTAAAGGGGAAAGATGTATTATTTTAATTAATGCATATAAGCACTATTTTCTCTGTTTAATCTAGAACTTACAGGCAAGCATAGCTTAATTTACAGGTTAAAAATTAAAATTCGTTTTTATAAAGATTTGTACATATTTAATAAAGCTTAAATTAGTTTTTATTTTATGCGGTCTATAGAATTTATGACATGAAGCAGTTTTCAATAAAGTTGCACCAGCGTTACAGTGCCATGAACCAAAAAGACAAGATCACGCGGGCTGGAGACTAGCCCGTTAGAATCGCATTTAGGAAAAAAGTTGAAAAGTTGAGGTTGTTTACATTTCTTCGTTGTTTACAATTTGGTGGTGGCTTTTTACTGCAATTTTCTTCATTTTCACTTGTGACAACGTGTGCACACATAAGATAAAGAATAATTTAACACAACGGCATGATTTATAGAAGAATTTGCATAATAAAAATGATTTTTCATGCGTTCAACAATTTCGCGGTTTTCTCCGTTCTCTTCGTTGTTTACTTCTTACAACAAAGATGGCGTCGAGATTTCGGCAGCTAGAAAATAACTTTTTTCGTTTTTTCCTTCCCGCGTGATCTTGTGTCTTTCGTTCATGTTACAGTGCAATTCAATTGCTAGAATTAAAGAATAGACTTAAATGTATGAAAAAGGAAAAAAGGAAAAGGTTAGACGTTGGATTAAAGCAAATAAAATAAAAATTAACGATATTAACTAATTTTGTTCAAACAAATTATCTAATATACAAAAAAGGAGTTTCGTAAGCAAAAGTAACATTTTCATAATGCATTAAAACACTAAAAAATACGTACATACATACATATACGTATGTAAATGCTATAGCAAGTTATACAGAATACAAAATTTCTCTTACATACTTTACGAAATAGCGGCATTCATAAAATGTTTAAAATCCACACCATAAGTACATACGTATTACCTTTGTACGCAAAAAACAAAATATACATAATACATATACATATATATGTTAATACTCAAAAGTATAACATTTTTAAGTATTATTTCAATCAATCTTTGCAATTGAAAAATAATCTATTACCTCACTGCCACTTGAAGACCCATCCGAATCGCTACCGTCCATGTAGAGCATATTTGTGCGCCGATTTCGTAGGCGTCGAGACATATTTTTCTGAACGTCATCCGACTCATCAGAGTCTGCATTTTTAGTGCACTTTGCTGTTCTATGTGTTCGTCGTGCTCTCGAAGAACATGATGCTGAGTTGTTGGCAATGTTCATATTTTCTACTTTACCATCATCGCTAGATGCTTCCGAAGGTGAAGAACTATCTTCATCACTATCATCGAATTCGATGCGCATGACGATTCGACGTTTTCTGCCCTTTCTGCTTTCAGTGCAATTACCACCGCCATGATTGGCATTTCCTCGGGTGGTGCGTCGATTTTTGCTGCACGAAGGACGTGGCTCAATATCACTATCACCAGAATCGTCAGCCATTCTAAATTATTGTAATATACAATACAATTGGTATGTACATATATGTATGTATATGGAATTTGCAAACTACATAGGTATGCCCTTTTTCCAAATTCTATTCAGTTTTTTGTTTTTTGTCTATAGTTAACACGAATAAGTGCAAAAAAGTTGAGACCGTGGTACACGTTTTTGGTGGTACCAGCGGCACTTCACAAATTTTAATTGAAATATCAAAAATTTAGTTGAAAAATATCGTAAGTTTTAAAATTATATTTTCATCAACGAATGAAACCTCTATTGAATAATACTTTTTCACTGCGACTTGGTGACTGTAGCCTGAATATTCTTTACAATTCGTATACGTTCTAGGTGTGAAAAAATATGCACTTTTCCAAACGCTTCTTACGTTTGCCTTAAATCAAATCTTTAACACTTTTTAGTTTCACAGGTTGGTTTGGAAGTTGCTGAACGTTTTTCTTAATATTTTGAAAATTTTACACTAGCTTTTCCTCAAATATTTTAAATTTTTCTCTAATGCGTTTTCTTTTTCACACAAACTCAGCCATTTTCAATTTTCATCAGCGAACTCCCTGCATTTGTGTTGCGTGGTGTGTCAGTTCGTTGTATACATATACGAAAATATGCCGATATTTCGGAAGTATGTGAATTGGAGAGAAATTTTGGAGGAAAGCATTGTTTCCCATTGTTGGTACTACTGAGTTGATGACCATTGCAGGGTTGCAATTGATTTTTTACGTTCTCCGAGCGAAGTGAATTCGATGATAAAAACACCCGATTTACACGATTCAAGTACTTGANCCAGTTCGTTGTATACATATACGAAAATATGCCGATATTTCGGAAGTATGTGAATTGGAGAGAAATTTTGGAGGAAACGCATTGTTTCCCATTGTTGGTACTACTGAGTTGATGACCATTGCAGGGTTGCAATTGATTTTTTACGTTCTCCGAGCGAAGTGAATTCGATGATAAAAACACCCGATTTACACGATTCAAGTACTTGAAAGCAATTCTTGCTCATT